GGTGTCCTTGTCCATGGCAAAGGGTTGGAATGAGATGATCTTTAAGGTCTCTTCCAACCCAAATTTCTCTGATTCTGTGATTCTATAAAGAATAGTTTCTGTATTCAGAAATGAGTAAACAAATTTAATTTTTTCAGTTTTGGAGGAGGAAAAAAAGCAATTACAGAGGAATTGAACAGATGCCTAGAATAGTACAGCCAATATACACAAAATCAAACATGGAACAATTATTCCTTATTTTTCGTAGCACAGAAAAGGAAAATTGTGATACTACCACAGTCACAGTCAGCAATTCAAAGTCATCAGAAGGAATTACATTCTCCACACAAAATGTGATTAAATAGTGAAACTCACAAGAGACCCAAAGTATAAATGAATTCACAAGAAGATGAGATAAGTTCATGCAAGAGATTTCAATTCACAGCCACCAAATACAGTGGTTTGATGTAGCCGCTGGCTAATAAAGTCATTAATCTCCTTATTGCTGGAAGCTGAAGGGGGAAGGGTTTCTCTGATTTACTCTGGTGTTCCATGCTTTGACTAGAATCTGCTACTGGGTATTGTTGGGGACAAGCCACTGAGCTGGACAGACAATGATCTCCCTCACTGTGCCCATTCAAAGCTTAAAAATAAAACGATACTCAAAGCAAATACTTCATTTTCAAAACCGCTGTGTAATAATTTCATAACAAATTATTTATAAAAATAGACTTATGAATGCTCTCCTAAAGTACAGTATTTAGATGGTCAATACCCATATTTCGATATTTTGAATGCGGAACAAACAGAGGGCAACATACACTGTATACAGAAATGTAATTAGCTACACTAATAAAACCACTGAATTATTTAACCTTTTGGGAAAGCACTTTCTAAGGTATTGGTTTACAAATCAGATTACAAAACTGAAAAGCATTTGACACCAAAGGGTAACATCTACAATGTCTCACCCTAATCATTAGTCCCAAGACTTAAAAAATTATCACTCAAACCAAGAGAGATTATCATCAGTCCCAGATCTTGGGCTGAGTCTGTCTGCAAAGATTTTGTTTTCCTCCTTCAGCCAATGAGAATTCAATTACAAAAAAAAAATAAAAAATAAAAAATAAAAAATATAAAAACGTACTGTGAGTGAATTAGATTAGAGACTGGTAATTGCAGAGTTCATCTACACTGTTTCTCTTGTATTTCTACAGTATCAACCAGCTGTGTTTTTCCTGAAAGCAATATTGAAAATACAACAGCAGCATCTGAATAGCATAATTTACATCTATCTTTTAAGTTGTTTTTTGTAAATGTTACCTACTTCTAAGGTAAATTTTGTTCCTTGGTACAGTGAGTTGATTGTTTTAGTGAGTAAAATATAATGCAAAGTGTTGTTGAAACTGAATATCAGCTTTTGCTCAAAGCATATCCTACTTTGCCTAATGTTAACAGCTGAAATTGTGCCTCAGACATCTTTTCCACCTTACTAACTGAATGGGCAGTGGCAGATTCATTTGATATTCATCATCACAGCATATAACCTTTCCATCATTGGGGAGGACCATCCTGGAATTACACCATTATGAGAGGAATAAAGTCTATACATTGCACCTTTGGTAGAGCACAGAAGACACTTAAAGAAGCTAAAAGACATCTGACCCCACATGCTGAGATGCATGGGGGGGAAAAGATGGGACTGAAAGCTCAAGGTTCCAGTTCTCATCATGAAGATTTCAGTCACTCCCATTTAATTTTTTTGCTTGTAATCCAGCCATGACCTGCTGAATTTCTGATCTCCTAAACATTTTACCAGCCGTACCAAGTAGCACTCATGAGCCTGATAAAAGACATCTCCTCTGGATGCCTCAAAGGTCTTTGCTGGCCAAAAGTACCGAAATACCTAAATTGCACCATTCCAGAACAGTTTATTCCACAGGCCTGACTGAAGAAAAGGGTTTTTCGCTTGTTGCTGATATCTCAAAGAAGCCTGCTCCAAAATAGGTAGAAGGTCATTCAAATTGGTAGAAAAATACATCAAACTTAACATAATCTTCCTGGAAAATAAAATGTTTTTTTCTCTATTCACCTCTAGTCCTCGTGATATATCTTCACATGGATATATACACACATACAGTCAAGTGTTCATACCAATCACTCAGCATCTGGCTTTAAAGTGTCAATATCCTCCAGACATACAGGAAGAAAATACTGAATAATAATGGCTTATAAGTATTGCCATAAATAATTCTATGCTTGTATCTTGTGCATACAGTGCTGTTAACTTTCTTTTCTGATTCTTTTGATTTCTTTCCTTCACAAACCATTTCCATAGCGAAATTCTTTTCTAGTCAAATTTCATCACAGTATGTCATGCCAAATCAGGGACACACAGGTTAACCACAAGATACAGTAGTTCTGGGCTATATATCATCTTCTTTCATAACTGACAGTCAACACACTAAGCAAAAGTCTGGGAACAGGGAAATATTTGACAAAATAAGGGTCTGTTGCTTTAGGGGAGCCAAAATTTCGCCTTGCTTGGTGAGACATAATTACTAGAACCATAAAATAGACTATGATAAAGGTAATTCATTTACTACATGAAGGAGCCTAAAGAATAGTTAGCAAATTTTAGTGGCAATAAATAATATTTCACATCTTGTTGTCCTGTACCTTTCTCAGTTGCCTTCAAGTATTTCCAAATTCATCAACTAAGTTAATTAATGAAATAAAGCTCTGAATTCATTTAAATGAAGACAATGAGAGTATGCTCTAACACATAAACTACACACTGTCCACTACACTGAGATACACCTCTGTTAACATCAATATTCCCTGTTTTGGAATAAAAATCTGAATAAAGCCTGAGCATCATGGAAGTAAGAATATATGTCATATTGTTATACTATTTCCAAATCTTGAATGTCTTCTGATGTATCTTCTTTTAATGTTATACTGAAACTAACTTTACTTGTCACCTAGTTTAAGCCATCTTGTCCACAGAAGAAAACAACATACTTAGAAAGCCTTTCTTCAGCAAGAGAGTTGTATCAGCAGGAGGTTTTAAAGCTTTTTAACTAATAAAAAAAAAAAAAATCACAGATTTTAAAAACAATAACTTAGTAACTAATAAAAAAAAATATATATGTATGTGTATATATGTATATATTTTCCAGATACTTGAAAGTGATTCTTCTGACTCAATACTGAAATACAGCATGGAAGTTCAAGGAATGAGGGACAAAAACATTTTGCCTAAATACATTGTCTAACGCATTCAGAAAGAGACAAGAACAGTGCCTTTCTGAAGTATAATGAGTTGGATAAAAAAAAATAGTGTATGTAGAACTCTTAACACCGACTGAAAAACAACCTGACCTACAATTAAAGGATATTAGAGAGTGCAGCTTCTGGAATTACAAAAGTAAGAGTGTTGAAAATAAGGAGTATTACACCAAGGTTAAAAAGCGGAGTGATAATTATATAAAATTATATTTCCTTTTTTGTTTGGTTTTTACTTTTTAAGTCTTTCCTGACAACTAAAACATACAGCAGAAACAGTTGTTTTTTTTCTTTAATCTATATCACAAAACCTAATGCAGCATTTTGGTGTGCTTGGGCTCACAGTTTTGGAAGACAATGCACACTATCTATCACACACCAAAATATACACAAGGCATCTACTGAGCAAGTTTCCCTCTGCTACTCCCCTTTGGCATAGCTTTGCTGGCTACCCTGGAATGAATCACTTGGCCAAGGCAGCACATAACTCACAGATATCTCTTTCCATTTTACCAGCCACATTTGGAGTTGTCACTGACATTTATAAAACATTCAGTGAATTAGAATTTACCACAGGCTGCAGGGGAATTTCCACTCTGGCTCATGGAGCACCTCTTCTCCCCCATTCTTCTCCCACCTTGTTGTCTGCAGGGTGGTTTCTCTCACATATTTTCACTCCTCTCTCTGGCTGCTGTGCCACCAGAGTTTTCCCTCCTTCCTAAATCTGTTATTCCAGAGGTGCTACCACCACCTCTGATGGGCTCAGCTTTGGCCAGCAGCAGGTCCATCTTGGACACAGTGGAATTGGCTCTCTTGGACACAGGGGAAGCTTCTGGCAGCTTCTCACAGAAACCATCCCTGTAGCCCCGCCACCAACCAAACCTTTGCCTTGCAAACACATACAGTTGTTAGAACCATATAAATTTTGCACTCCTTGACAGCCGTGGCACATTTTGGTCACTTGGGCTCTGCATTTTAATAAAGTAACATTTAATTAATGTTGTCTGTAGTTATAACACATGACAAGACCTTAGTCTCAAAACCATGTTCTGAAATGAATATTATTCCCTCGAGATTTATGATGGGAACAATATTTTCATTTAACTGAAGGGGGAGGTGAAACATCCCAGAGGTATACACATTTTACTGGAGAAGGGAATTTTCTTTCTATTTCCAGTGTGCATATGCTGTTTTCATCCCCATCATCTCAAAACAGAGGAATGAAGCATTGACCATGAGAGGAGCAAACAAGTTAGTGAATTTTGTCTATTTTAGAAGTTTCATGAAATAAAGATTAATTACAACTCCTCTGAAGAGCTATGTCTGCCAGAACATAAAAGGTACCTTGAAATTACGAATATTAAAAATTTAAAGTATTTTAAATCATATACTAAAACCCAGAAGAATTAAAAAAACAAAGGCAAGTAGATGTGCTCCTCACTGCAGGAAAGTTCAGAGTAGCTATAATGTAATAAAAATCATTTAACCCCTACTAGATGAGTTTTATCGAGTACTGATGATTTTCCTCTCATTTTCACTTGAAGATAATTCACTGTTATCAACTTGTAAGATGAAAAAGAAAATTGAAGTTGGCAACCGAAAATTTTCAGATTGGCATAAGAAAATTATTTTTGCACATACCACCCCTTATTTCAAAGAAATTTCTCTTTTTTTTTTTTTTTTTTTACAGCAGTAGAATTCAAACATCTTAAGGAAATTAAATGTCTCCAAAAATAAGTTATTTTCTGAGCAAGCATTTACCAAGCTTTAATATTTCGTCAGGTTAACAAGTACGTACTCACCACTTTGACAGTTCACTCACATATTTGCAGATATGTGTGTAAAAGATACAGAAGATGCTCAGAGTGTCTCAGAGTAAAAGCCAATACACAGTACTGAAAAAGAAACATAAATAGCAAAGAGAAAATTAAAAGGACAAGTTTAGTCCCTTGCTGCTGCAAGTGAATAAAATAAACATTTGCATACACTTTCCAGCCATTCTTCGCACAGATTTTGCTGTTGTGTCATTCTATGTAGTTATCTACTGCTCAGAATATTAAAAAAAAAAAAATCCCAAACCAACCAACCCACAGCCAAATTTCACACGTTCTGCGGTTTAATCAGAATTTTAGGATTCTTACATACATAGCTGTAGACGTGTCACGTTCTGAATTCAATGAGCTTTCTTACAAAGTATTGTTTTTCTAAACATATTTTGAGTCAAACGGTCAGGAGCCAAGCAAGGTCATTCCCAGCAAATCACATGGTGATTGATCCCCCCAAAAAATCCCACTTCAGTGAAAACTATTACATATGTATAAAAGACAGAAAAAATAAAAAAAATTAAGAGTACACATCAGAGGGAAATATTAATCTTTTGGGAGAATGGTGGGTCTGTAACCTCCAAATGGATAATTTCTTTGGGTTTATTTTGTTTTGTTTTGTTTTGTTTTTTTTTTTGCAGAAGGGTATAGTGCAAGTAATAAATACGGTGATAGCTCTAGAAATAGAATGTAGAGAATAAAATGGTTTGAAGCCAAAAGCTAGTCATTTAGGTGGCTAGCTAAAAGAAGAGAAATTCTCTGCTTCCAACATCCTTGCTGATATTGAATGGTTTTATTTAATTTTTTTATGTAACTCCACAGGGAAAAAAAAAAGTGTATGCAGTTTTTCTAGTTGATCATGGTAGACTAAAAACATCCATGTCTTAAAAGCTTCTGTCAGTAGCCTTTGATACAGTAATGCACTTAATATTGGTACTCTGACCCCTTAAATTTCAGAATAGGAATGCTATATGTTGTAGAAAAGAAACCATTATTAACCTTTTAATAAAAGCTTTTGATATTCATTTTTAGTACTTCACATTGAAAGCTCACCTTCCAGAAAGGCTATGAAAAGGTGAAGAACACAGCACAAGACTAATTCTCATTTAAAAATATTTTTTTTGTGTCTTTCTTCAACACTGATAAAGATAGTACTGGCATTAGTGCAGAGTAATTTTTGCAGATTGCTTAGCACTTATGTGCCATAAAAATAAGTTTACTGGATCACCCATCATGCCGTGACAAAATGGTTCTATTTGCATGGATAACATATCTCAGTGTATTTTTCACCTCACTTGAAATCTATGCCTAAGGAAGTTGATGATCACTGTACAAGCTCCATTTTCAAACAGTTAGCTCTGGTAATAGAGTTCACTACTCAGTTGAATTACTGCTGATATGTGTGGAAGTTCCCTTTGATTCACACCACTGCTCCTGGCTGGTACTTTGCTGGACAGAATTCCTGGTAGTGCTCTATCATTGGTGGCACTGGTTCTCCAAGGCACATACTTAAGTGTAACTCTGGACAAAATTAATGTACGGAAAAGGCATTTTTCCAACTATTTTTATATTTAGAATCCAAATCAGTACCAGACAAAGAATAACCACAGCGCCAACTTATTTAAATAATATTCTCTGATAAATTTTGGAGGCCTAAAAGCAGCAGGCACAAGCCATGAAGCAGAAGCTGAAGCAAGCGAGAAAGTAAAGTACCTTCTTGGCACACTGAAAATACTGTAATAAGACATGCTGGAGCAGACAAAGGGATAACTCTTCCAATACACATCAAAAGCTTCCAAATGTCATTTCTGGGGCCCACAACATAAGAAGAACATGGCTCTGTTGGGGCAAGTCCAGAGGAAAGCCATGGAGATGATCAGAGAGCTCCAACACCTCTCTCTGATGCCAGGCTGAGAGAGTTGGGTTTGTTCAGCTTGGAGAAGAGAAGGCTCTGGGAAGACCTTATAGCAGCCTTCCAGTACCTAAATGGGGCTTGCAAGAAAGCTGGGGAGGGACTTTTTACAAGGACATGTAGTGATAGGACAAGAGGAAATGGCTTTGAACTGAAAGAGGGTAGATTTAGATTAGGTACTAGGAAGAAATCCTTCACTATGAGAGTGATGAGGCACTGGAACAGGTTTCCCAAACCAAACCATTCTATCATTTTATGATTCTGCAGCCAACAGAACAGTAAATGTAACTCTATTTGCTATTTTCTTCATGAAAATCAAGATTAACTACATAAAATGATATTGAAAAATATTTAAGGAATAAGATATATTTAGACAGAAGTTTAGCATAAGATAAGCTAAGGCTAATATTTTCTTCACAAACTTAAAAGTATATAAAATCAGATCAAAATCCAAAACAAAATCAAGATCTCTCTAAATAGTAGAAAACATTAATTACAAGGACAGGTTAAAATGAGAAAGAAAGTTAGGATGTACAGGGGGATGCAGAGTACCTCAAAGTCTTAAAAATATTAACTAATGTTAAAAATTAGCAAAAAAATATTCATTTTTATGGAAGTGTATAAACCATAACCTTCAGATTTCCGTAACAAAAAGAAATATGAATTAGTTTAAAATGGAAACCAACACATTCCAATGAAAGGTCAAAGGGAAATAAAAATTGCTTCATTTTACAGTCTGTTTGTTGGTACAAGAGCCCCTGAAATAAATGACATGAGGAAGCTGTAGGAAGAACACCTACATAAACACCACAAATAGGAAACTTTAATCCAGCACAGAGAGCTGTGAGTAGGGCCTGTTTGCTTCACCAAATAATTTTTAAAGCAGACTAAACTGTAGTATGAATGCATCCAGTGTGACAGACACATTTCTATTGCATTTATCTGCTGAAATCAGCCCAGTTGGAACCATTGGAAAAGGATGTGGGACTGCTGGTTGACGGCCACATGAATATGAGCCAGCAGCATACCCAGGTGGCCAAGCAGGCCAATGGCATCCTGGCCCGTGTCAGCAATAGTGTGGCCAGCAGGACCAGGACAGTGACTGTCTCCCTGTACTCAGCACTGGTGAGACCACGCCTTGAATCCTGGGTTCAGTTTTGGGCCCCTCACGACATGAAAGACATTGAGGGGCTGCAGCAGGTCCAGAGAAGGGCAACAGAGCTGGGAAAGAGTCTGGAGCACAAGTCCTATGAGGAGCAGCTGAGGGAGCTGGGGATGTTTAGCCTGGCAAAAAGGAGGCTCAGGGGAGACCTCATCACTCTCTACAACTACCTGAAAGGAGGCTGTAGACAGGTGGGGGTCGGCCTCTTCTCCCAGGTAACCAGTACAAAGATGAGAGGAAATGGCCTGAAGTTACGCCAGGGGAGGTTCAGATTGGATATTTGGAAAAATTTCTTCACCAAAATGGCTATCAAGCTTTGGAACAGGCTGCATAGCGAAGTGGTTGGATGATCCCTGGAAGTAATTAAAAGGCATGTGGACTTAAGGACATGGTTTAGAAGTGGACTTGGCAGTGATGGGTTAATGGTTGGACCCAATGGTCTTAAGGGTCTTTATCAACCTAAGGGTCTTTATCAGCCATGTTTCTATGATCCTATGATTCTAAGCCACAGCCTTTTGAGGATTCAATAAAATGGAAGCTAAACCCAAAAATCCACAAAGTATGCTACGTATTCTCCATTCTCTTTACCTGCAAAAGTAACATTGGGCCCTTAAGACCCTATTACACACTCTTTTCACAGAGTGTTTGAAAGAGTGAGACAACAAAGTACCACCAAGATTTTCTACAAACAGACACGTCTCACCCTCGCTAAAACAAAATAATTTCTAACACTGTCCGGTTCCTTTTGCACTTCAGCACTTTGATGAGGAACCAGACCTGATATAGAATCTGCTTTCTGCAGAGCATCACTAAATTCAGCCATAGGAGCACCTTCACAGTCCGATTTCCAGCCAAAGTGCTGATAAGAGAGAAAGGACAGTGTGGAATGAATCCACCTTGCTTACCAGCTCACCCATTCCAAATTTGCTACGGACAGGCTAAGTACTACAAGGCTTCCCATCCTCCTTGTGTTAGTTTTTTCCCCAGGGAAAGAATGATTGCTACTGCAACTGCAACTTTATAACCCTTGCAATTGCTATTATTATTTCTATGGCAGAAAATGACAAAACATTAGTTATTCCAGATAGAAAGGGGATACACACCTTGAAGGTCAAGGTGTGTATATAACCCTACAATAAAATTACGTTTCCTTTTACCAATTAAACTATCAAAGTGAGAGAAAGAAAAAATAATACAAATAGGATTTGATTTACCTGTTCCATATTTTTTAAATTATTTTTTTTAACCCAAAAAACATAGATATATTGGGAGGAATTTTGTTGTTTTGTTTTTTTGGGGTGGAGGTTGTTTGTTTTTTGTCAGGGTATTTTTGGATCTGTTTTCCTTTTTTTGTTGTTGTTGTTGCTGTTTTTCTTTTTATTTTAGACATTTCAGTTTGCAGAAAATATAACAAAGGAGATGTGAGCAAGCTGGGGAGTCAGACTAGTCAGACTATACTTCTTTTTTATCCAGTAACTTGGGACTTCTGGTGTTCATCTAGCTTTGGAAACTCAGATTTGGTTATCTCCAGTTTTGGAGAAAATATGATTCCATATCTTTCATATGGAACCATACAGCTACAGGGGATTTCAGAACAAGTCCTGTGTAAATCATAGAATGACATAATTGCCTGGGTTGGCAGGGACTATAAAGATCATCTAGTTTCAAACACCCTGCCATTTGCAGAGACATCTTCCACCAGACCAGATTGCTCAGAGCTCCATCCAACCTGGTCCTGAACTCTTCCAGGAATGGGGCATCCAGAACTTCTCTGGGAAACCTGTGCCAGCGTCTCATCACCCTCACAGTCAAGAATTTTTTCCTAATATCCAATCTAAACCTACTCTCAGTTTGAAGTCATTCCCCCTTGTCCTGTCACTCCAGGTCCTTGTAAATAGTCTCTGTCCATTTTTCCTGTAGGCTCCCTTCAGGTACTGGGAGGCCACAATTAGGTCACACCGAAGCCTTTTCTTTCCCAGGCTGAACAATCCCAGTTCTCTCAGCCTTTCCTCACAGGAGAGGTGCTCCATCCCTCTGATCAAATCATTACCTTGTTCAGACAAAGTTTTCAATATAACACAAACTGCAGCTGAGACTCCTACCCAGAGCAGGAACCTCCTAGGAATTTGTATAAAGTTGTTCACTTCACCCAGCAAAATTACTTTTTTAGTGCAGTAATTGCCAAAAGAGAATAATACAAGTTCACTACTGTGACTAATGGCAACAGACACCGGTAGAAATTCTCAAGATGTTACTTTAATCTATTTGAAAAAGAGTTGGTTGACCAGTGGGCTTCTCTAAACAGCTTCCTAACATAGGGCAAAATATGGTCATCGCAGTACGTGTTGTAGTCCAGCTGCATGCTGTCATGTTCACTTTTGCTCAGGAATAGTGAATCTTTAAGTATTTTACATCAAGCCACCTCTACAGAAAAACAGAGATTCAAATCCACTATAGATACCCAAATGAAAACCTTTTAGGTAACCAACAGGAACAAAATGTGGATCTTTCATGACCAGGGCTACACGGTAACCACAAATAATTTAGGAAAATGCTCTGGTATGCACAGTAGGGAGTTCCTCCAGCATGCCAGTAATTTTCAGTATCAATCAAAATACACAAAGCAACATGCAGAAGTGCTGGAACAGCTTTCGTGTCAGGTAATCCTGGAATGCAAAAGCAGTATAGTGCCTTTGCTGCCCACCTCAGCTGTACTTCTCATCTCCCAGGAAAACCAGCCGTGCACTCATTTGCAATACAACCTTCCATGCTCATTAGAAGATTTTCTTTAAGCTCATAGTTCTGAATTGCTTTTTGCTCCTAGTCAGCTTTACAAAACATCCTTCAACTGATTTCATTATAAATATATATATATATAATAAATTAATATAAATGTGTGCATATACACACAATTTTTACTAAACAGGACTTTTGCTGCCTTGGATGACCTGCTAGGACATTTAGAGACATGCTGCCTGTGATTGATGTGTAAAACTGGAGCATATTTCTGAGATTAAATCAGCATGGAAGGTTAAAGGGTCATTTATCTTCTTCCACAAATTTATCATTGCTATTATGAAAACCTCATATTTGGATTTCATTATCCTTCAGTCCTATCTTGATTTTCTGCTACTCTTGCACCCTTAGAAACGGGTTTAGGTATTTCTCATGAATTGCTATAAGAGTTCCATCTGAGTAGAATTTTTTTTTTCACTGAAAATGGAGTTACCAATAATCAGGGGAAAAAACCCCAAGCTATTAGTGATACCACAGAATGCCATGTACTTAGGAATTCCTTCCTTTTTCCATTCTTGATTACCGTGTCCCCCTCCCTACCCTTTTTATGCTTCTAAAACATAGATTAGATATTAAAAAAATTATTCTCAGGTTCATTCTTAAATCTCTATGTGAAATATGTGTGGATGTATAGCTTCAGAATAAAACTAAAATATATTTGAAATTCTTCTGAGTACTATTTTTTGCTCAGTGTTCTGCATCCACATTGTATCTCCTCTTTAGACATGGTCTCCAAAAACTAAAACAGAGATCAAGCATGATAATGCAGATACAGGAGAATTTCATTACCAGTTTGTTTAAAGAAATATTATAATAGGATTTGGACCATCATTTGCCAGTTGTTGACTCAAATCCATCTCAGAAGTTAATTTCAATCATTGCAAGCTCCCATTTTTCTGATCCAGGCACAGAAAAGTTGCTGCTCTCAGCCCAGCGTTTAGTGGGCAGGTGTCCACATCATAAAATTTACATTGTATAATATATTATAACTTAAACTAGTTATTGATGCACTCAGAAGTGTTTATGTACATTGATGAGGCACAGTAGGAAGTGTAGTTAAGTGATGCTCATGCTGTACTCAGCTGAGTAATTTTGATAACAGCTCCTCATAGCAACAGCTGGAAAAAATACAGAGAGTAAGAAAGAGAAAAGGATGATGACAACTTCAGATTCAAGAGTCTATCAATGTAAGAATTTTCATAAATACCTGAACTGAAAAAATAATCCATAACCATTCTGACTATTGAAATATTTATTATAAATTCTTATACCTTGAGGCTCTAAGAACAGGAGTAGCACAATAAAAGGACTTTGACCGTCATATTTTGGAATAAGAAATGACCTCTAGTCTGAAAGAAGAAAGAGCAAAAAAGTTAAACAGCTTGTTCCAGGTGGATAGAGGCAGGCTGGTGCTCCCATCCCTCATCTTCTCCCAAACACCATCCACTCTTCAGCACTAAACTTTTGGTAGTCAGCACCTGACAAAATGCAAATGCAGATGTAGAGATGTAGAGATTTGATAAACTTCAAATAAGAAAAAAAAAAAGAGAAAATTGAAGTGATCAAGACATCACAGTGGCTGCTGACCTTCCTCCTCATCTGTAAAACAGATGCACAGATGGAGCAAAAAAAGCATATCAGCATTCTGAGGAGGTTACAATCATTTTCCAGACAGAACATTCTTCAAAATAAGAATTTATAAAAATTTTAAATCAGTTACTAGAGTGAATACATAGGGAAGTATATCCATAAATCCTACAAAGAATAACATTTTTTTAAAAATCCAACATACAAAAAAGGCAAGCTAAATATTTAGTACAGAACTTGATGATTCATAAATTACAATGAGCTTGGAATGAAACCTTGAATTTTACTGTTTCCTCTCTTCCATCTAAATAATTACTTTGGAAAAATCACAGGAAGGTAGAAAAAGGCTGTATTACAGACACGTTTAACCAGCTAGTCCTTCAAATTCAACTCATTCAGCTACTAATTAGTTGTAAACGTTATCCTTATTATCAGCATAAAACCTTACCTTGGGGAAGCTCAAGCCCTCTCTTTTTTCGTCTTCAATAGCATAACACGATAAAACTGTGAGCTCCAGTAGCATGGCACTGTGCAGGAACCATCCATAATGGGAATCCCCTGCCAAAAGAAAACCAGGAACTTTTTCAGACATCTCAGATGGTTTTATTCCAGATGTACACCATGTTTTACAGTAAAAATATTGGAACTACTACTCATGGAAATGAAATAATGATTTCTATTTCTCATTGCGCTATAACAACTTTTTTTTCTGCTTTTCTGACAATGACTTTTTCTTGTTTCATTTACTGATGTGTGTAAAAATTGCCCTTTTTTTTTTCTGATTATTCCCTTCATCTCCTCTACAGAGATAGCCACTTAAAAATCCTCACTATACTAGGTATTGAGTCAAGTTTTCAATTCTTTATTAGTCACAAAGGATGCAGGTATGACTTTCTTTGGTTCTATGCCTTTTCAGTCTCTCTTTTGTGCAACAACAAAAAACTCTAGTAAAATATGGATTTCATCATTTTCAATACTGCCTGTGGACTTTCTCATTTGTCAGTCCTAAATCTCCCAGTTCACCTCTTCTTTTTTATTTTTTTTCCAAGCCAATTGCATTTTGCTTCATTAGTTATAGCTGTCCAGAATTCTTTGCTAACTACATTCTTTATTCATCATCTTTACACTTTTAAGCATTGGATAACAAATAACTTTTTAGGTTCAGATACAAGAATTTGTTTTGAATTTTAAAGAGCTATTAATTTTCTACTTTCAAAGAAAAGCACATTCATTTCTCCAGAAAGGTTATTCTTCTTTCCCAATAAAGCCAAGGAGTGCCATTAACAAGACCACAAAACTGCCCGTTGAATAGAAGTTTGATTTGTTTCCTCGCTCACTCTCACTCTTCATATTTGATGATGCATGCTTTTGACTTCTCGACTGTATTTAATTCCTCCTCATTAATGACACACTTGTCTCTTATCCCTCTTTGCAAAGATCAATTATTGATCTGCATTAATGTAACTGATGTATCTCTCACCCATCTATTAGCCATGTGTTTTCAAGCATGTAATTTAACTGAATTCTTTCCTCCTGTTACAGTTTCTCTGTCATCCATTTCTGACAAGCACTGTACTTGCTTTTATTCCTGTTCTTTGTGCTTCATTTTATCAAAAAAACCCCAAACCAATCGAACTCTGTGCTCATTTTATAATAGTCATTGCTATTAACTGTAGTAAAAATAACTTAATCACCACAGGTTTTTCTTGTTTTGTTCTGAGAAAATGCAAACTATTACTCAAGAAACACATTAAACATTTAAAAAAGTAACAGACTTGTAGGCTGGCACTGAACAGATCCAAACACGTAAAAAACTGTATTTATACACTAAGGTTCTATGGCTCTATACTTCACATGTGATGTCTGCGTAGCAAAGTATTTCTCATAGCATCCTCCTCAAAATCCAAGCTGTACTATTTCTAATAGAATCAACTGCTCTGCTCCAAGGGCCTGAATATTTAACATCAATATCCACATACCCTCTGAATCACACTGCAACTGAACAAACCTATAACTTGGCCCAGGTACTCTAAAGATCAAACTCCCACTGTGAGCACCAGCAGGCCTTGTACAATCTCGCCCATGACATGGAAGTCACTGCTCTTGCAGGAACTAAAAATAGTGAGGGATAAGTATACCAGTCACACCCCCTTTCTGTCACCAAAAATATGCCTCTTCACCACCAGGGGCTATGAGAAGTTTCTTAAGGCAAGTACACTTGCATTGTGACCCACTAGCTCATTGAATTTTTTAACCTGACTTTTGTACATCTTTGTCTAAAACACCTGGACAACTACGAAGACAGGCATAACTTGCAGTTTCTTCTCTTGAACTAGCTTGACCTTAATCATTAAATAGATATAAAACACCTTCATATAACTTCAGTATGCGACAAATCAGGCTATATTCCTAAGAAAGACTGCTAGTTATGAAACAAGAATGTGAAAGACTTACTGTACCTCTGAGTAATCTGTTCCAATGGTTGCTTGCCCTCACTTCCAGCAGTTTTCACCGTCTTTCCGGTTTGGACTTTGCTGACTTCAACTTCCAGCTGCTGGATCCTGTTAGTCTTTGTTTGGCAGATTAGAGAGACCACTATTATCAACTAATAGCACCATACCCTCCACAGTCAATTCCTCCTTTGCAAGCAGTAATTCAACATAATTTTTATATGCAGATTAATAACTCAGCGAGAAAGGCAGACAGGAATACACTCAGTACATTCAAGTTGTGTCAATCCTTTTCACAATAATACTGAATTAATAGCTATGTTATTATTTAGATTATTACCTCATAAATTGCAATCTATTCATATCCCACAGCTAAGCAGCATGTAAAAACTCCAGGTAGCAAAAATCTGTATTTTTTCCAATTAAAATACATAAATATGCCCAAAAGCTGTAAGAGTACTAAAGTACAGGGTTCCCCTTTCAATGGCTCACTGATTAGTCAAATTATTTTCAGGTACTTTTTTATCTCTCTAGGAATCCTCACTTTATATGTTCCAGTGAACAAGTCTCAATTTTTACAGTACAGTTTCCTTGAATTTAGTCTATATTTTCTGTTCAGAAACTCTCCTTTTAGTAATCAGCATATGAAGGTGACCAGAGCCCACTTACATAGTTACATAGCAAAGCAAATTAAAACCCATTAGTACTTGTTGCTCTGCACCAAACTTTGGTGTTTACTCTAAATCACGTTTCAGTTCAGCAAAATGAATGAGTAGTACGTGAACATATTGCCTTAGATGTTTAAAATTTAAATGGAGTCACCAGTTGTAATGACCACATTTGGAATATATTTACTTAGTTTTCTTTCAAAAATACATCATATTGGAGGTTGCCAAATCTGGTGAGCTTCACTCTTACCACAGTTGGGATGATACAAGGCTGCAGTGGTTCCAGGTTTCCAGAGCAAGTAGTGAGGCTGCCTAAGTGTTCCCAGACAAACAGATACACACTATAAATATGCATTTACACCTGTATTTATATGCACACATGGCCAGCCACACGGAGCAGCATAGGCAGAACAGTGCCTTTACCAGTCTCCATGAAAGGCACAGGGCTCTCACCAGCAGGAATAGCACAGATGCCCTAAGCCTTCATCGCTGTGGTGGATCCACCACTGGGACAGACACTCATATATGTTGGTTGTCTTTCCATTAGCTGGTTACAGACACTTGGTCTGGTCAGTCCCTGGCTCACAGGCCATTGGGAGCTGCTCCTCCAGCAGCTGACACCTCAAGCCCCTGGAGTTGGTACTCACTGCAGTTGCTGCTCACTTCTTACCCTACTTGAGGATTGGTCTGACTTGCTGCTTGCTGGAATTAAACTACACCTAGAAAAGAGGCTGTACAACCCACATGGAGGATGGTCAGAAATAGGATTTAAGAACACCACAGGATAGACTATGATAGTCAAGGCCAGTCAGGTAAGTGTAATAACCAGCAACCTGTATAAACTCAATCAGCCTCTTTTACCCCACTCACATCTCTACTTCCCCCACACTTGTTCAAGGCAGCCTCACTGGTCCACTTTGATTCCTACTCACCTTCAGTCCATACTGAAGTCTCACAGCCCACCCTTAAAACATTGCATGTTTTACACAATCCCTGAATTCTCTTCTGTTTGCAAGTTTTGTGCCTCTGAGAGACAGTTTTGCCTTTATAGCTTTTCGGGGATTCTCCTGCTCGACTCACCTCCAAGCATTTCACATCAACTGCAATGGTCTAAATCATTTGCCCTTGAAAGTTTTATTGAGGAGTAATTTCAGCATGCTCCTTTCAGTTTTCACTGATTATTCTAAGGTATCCCAGCCTGTCACCGCTCCTCTGATCTTTACTGGGGCTTTGTCCTTATTGTGATTAGCCAGAATACCTAACATAATATTTATGCTGATACCAGCTAATACAGAATCACGTTACTCAATTCCATGCAATCACATGATCACCATGATTGTATTTCAGTGGTATCATATAATGGTACTATTAGCTCTACATCAAATCAAGTTTTCTGTCATAAAAATAAACCCTTTTGATCCATTTAAACAGACTTGATAAATCATTGGGAAATATAATGGTCTATTATTTGATTTGGGAGGGAAAATATAACCAACAAAAATATTAGGCACTGAGTTACATCCTCCATGTATCTCTGTTCTGGGTATGGTACAATTCCAGATGCCTACAATAATGCCTGATCACAGAAAACAGGCTTCATCTACACTGGAACAGTGGGAGCTGTCAGGAGAAATCCGTCATTCCTGCTGGATCAAACAGCCTGAGAGATGTGAGGCTGCTGCTGTTCCATGTTCCCAGTAGGTCCAGCCAGTAGTGAGGCTGGAGAAGCACTCCCAGCAGATACACATACAAAAGCACAAACATGCAATACACACACAGCTGCCTGCACAGGTCACAGATAGAGCACTTGCACAAACACAGCACCAGCACCCTCATTCTGCTCCCTGTGGCTGGACAGGATGGAGAATGACTAGTGAAAATGTCATTCCCATGTAGAAGGAGGATCCCTCCAGCAGGTGGACTCAAACACTCAGTGTGTCCAGGGCTGGCCCCTGGGACCCAAGCTCTGAAGTTGTTGGCATCTGGACATACCTGAGACTAGGCTGGGGGGGGCTCTGAGCACCCTGCCCATCCACAGCAGAGGGCTTGGAACCAGATGATCTTTAAGGTCCCTCCCAACCCAGGCCATTCTATGATTCTAATCTCTGAGCCCCAGAAGCTGCAGCCCTACTCCAGTTGCTGGCATGACTATCACCCACACATCGAGACGGGTCAGGATTTTCCAGGTCCCAGTTATCTAATGTTCCCTATGTTCTTGCCCCTAGAGGCACCCAGGTGCTCTCACACCCAAAGTCAGCCCTAGAGATCTGTTCACCATCTTGCTCCTGGGCCATTTCTGCTCACCAACCCACCTGATTTGATCTTCACTATTGCTCACACACATGCTCACAGACTTACACTTGCTCCAGTCTGTGGCAACATGGACACAGACCCTCTGCCCCATGGTCTGACTCCAGTTGCTGCACACAGATCCCCCTGCACACAAAGAGGGAAGTGCTGCCCTGGGAAGAGCTGGGAAGAAATTTAATAAAGAGGACAGAGAGGTGATCAGGTGCAGGGCAACATCTGGCAAGAGTACTGACCACACTATTTACAACATGTGATGGTCCCTTCTAATTCCTTATCCCTCCTTTGTTTTCTCACCCCTGTTCCTCTCCAAATGACCTGAACACCTCCCTTTTCCTACCACTGATTCCTGCCTAAACACCCTGTAAATCCTACGTGGTCTCAAATTGCTTTCCCCCTGCATTCTGCAATGTGTTCTACCCCTAAGAAGCAACTCCTCTCAGCTTGAAAGGTGATTTGCAAAGCTGCTCCCCATGACACATTGTGATGGGTTTCATGCCTGGACATTGAGGCTGAAGGATCAGCTGACATACACCGTTAGGGGTCTGAACAAGGTGGTTGTTCCTCAGAAGTCCTAGGTTTGGGTTCCCACCTGTCCTTGTGCATTCCTGTGCTCCTCTGGACTTGTGCAGACAGGTCATGGATGGGCTGGTGGTTCCTGAGATGGCCTGGGAGCAGCCCAGCAGGGTATTACTTGGGCTTCAGCTCTTGCTGTTGTCTTTCTGAGCTCCTTTATGGATGTGGAGATGCACCTCATTACTTAATTGAACAGTAAATTGAGAAATAATGTGTCAGCACAAAAGGTATGGAGCAGCACCAGACAACCAGGCAGAAAGATAGGTGAGAAAAGAGAACACTGGGAGAGCAGCAGGAAAAAAAATTTAAAAAGCACAACTGCTTATGAACGTGTTGGAAGTCAGCTGGAAGAACAGAATGCCCTACCAATGGTTATCCCAAGGGGTAACTTGAAAGACCAGGAATAACCGTGCATACAGAAGATGAGCCCTTGTGTCCAGCTGGATGTCAACAGGAGCAGATTAGCACTAAGGGTTTTGTTCCCCTCGCTGCCCCTCTGCCCCTCCCACGCCTGCTGCTCAGAGCCATCTCTGCAGTGATCACCACAGAGCCAGCAGAAAACAAACCTGATGCACTTGCATTTGGACTCATCACTGAGCTGACTTCTTACAGCAGCATCACTGAACTTCCAGACTGCTGCACTTGACCACAACAGTGAACCTCTACAGAATTTATATTGTCTCAGTGCTTGGCTGCTGCTGAGGTGATAACATCACAGGCAGCCCACCTCTTCCTACATATATGAAGTACTTCTTTAGACATGTAGAAAAAAAATTCTTCATTAACAGGCCACTTAAGCTTATAAACTTGTGATTTTTTTTCAGTGGCACATCACAAAATGCACTAAGACAATTAACTCACTGATTCAATCCTTAACCAAATACAATAACACCAACCCCTGCAGAAGACTAAGATCCCCCTGCAGAAGCAGACCCTGCTTCAGTAAAGAGTGATTATGCACAAAGTTCTCCCAACACCTGACTGTGCTGAGATTGATGTGAACACAATGTTTACAGGCAAATGAAGAAAAGATTTCCAGAATGTTCACATTCCAAAGCTTGCTTCATGTGGTAACTAGAGCTGTCAGATAGACTTTATAAAAACCCCTCATCAGAATTTTCTGTTCTAAAAGGAAGGTTTACTTTCTGATGGGTTAATTAATTAGTGGCAACAAGGAACCTTTCATGGATCACAGAAACATTATTAACAGTAATAAATTGCACCTTCCCCGAAGCAACACAAAATCAATGACTTTACAAGAAATTGTTAAAACAATGGTGATGCTTTAAGAAAAATGCTCATTTGAACCGTATGAAGGTTGTGATGTAAGGGTCATTATATTTTTATACTATTTATGATTTAGAGATATTTGATGTTACTGAGTTAGATCTATTTTCCTAATGTACTATTAGATATATGTGAGATATGTAATACGAAGAAACTTATTTTTGCTGAGAGGTGGGGGAAGGAAAGAGTTTTACACAAATTGTAAAATTTCTTCTTGCAGGAAAAAGTCCCCACAAACTATAATTGTAATCTGTTGGAAGAAAAATAGTTATACTGATCCTCCAAGGAAGGTGTACCTCAAATTTACTGAATTTTCATAAGAATTTCACTGATATAAGAAAGTATTTCAAGAGTAACCACTGTCATGACAAATTTTACCCTGCTTATTGATCTTCCACTATAATTTTAAGAAAGTACTTCTCTCTCA